ATATCTTGACCCTTTTAAGCCCCAGGGTGGGTGCCTGGTGCCTGTTTGCTTGCAGGGCAGGCGGGTCAAGAGACATGCAGGAAGGGATCTAGTCAGGCTGGCCCATTAGCAGGGTGGTTCAGGACACTGCTGCTGGTGGCAGGGGCTATGGGTTCAAGTCTCTGCAAGGCTTGAGTCCTCTGGTCCCAACTAGTATGCAAGTGACTTCCTCTCCAGCGCTTGCCTAGCAGCTGGTGCTCAGAGGTGATCATGGTTGAAAGCTGGAGGGGACTTGGAGTTGTAGCCCAGTTGGATATGTCCTGAGCCACCCGGTGTCCGCCGGGTTTTTTTTGGGCCTGGTTTTGGGGTGCAGGGACAGGAAAAACAAAAAACCAACCTCATCTTTTTCTTCTGCCACCCCCTCATCCCAACTTTCCCCCACACAACCCAGCCCCTAGCCACAGGAACCCACTGAGAAGCAAGGAGCCTGAGAGCTTCAGCCATGTAAGGGCTTGAACCCACCACCTTTGCCACCTAGGGTAGCACCCTTACCACCAGACTACTGGGGAGAGCTGAAAGCAATTCTGGCCCTGGGCCCCTTGACACGCACTGGCCAGGCCCCGCCATTGCAAGAGGAAGGCGCCTCCCTGCAAAAGGGGAAAGACCTGGACTCAGGCCCACAGCACCGATGGGGAGAGACCCTGCACCGTGCACCACAGGACCCAGCTGGTTCAAGCCCTCACTTCCGGGCCCCTTAACTCTTTCCCTGCGCACACGCACTGGCCCCACTGCAAGGGGAGGCCCAGGAAGGCCGCAGGCCCTGCCTGCCTGGTGGCCAAGGCCCCGTGCCGTCAGGCAGGGCCCGTGGGTTTGACTCAGCACAGGGGCAGCGTCCTCTGTCCGCTTTCACTGTTGCTTGCCCAGCCGCTGCGGGCCAGGGGCCATTGTATTTGCCGTGCCGACAGGACTTGTTCCAGCCGCCCGGGCTCAAGTCCGGAGACGTTGAGCTGGAGGCCGGGCGCTCTGCCTTTGTTTCTGGGCAGGGGACCTGCCTGGAAAGAGCAAAGCTGTGCGGCACGTCCCCGTGGGCTGCGGGGAACGGTGATCTCTGCCTGCTCAGCATGGACCACCGCGGGGTCCCAGCTCCTGTGCGACCCCAGCCAAGGGGTGCAGACAAGGGGGTCGGAGGCCTCCAGCCACAAGGGAATCCGGCCCCAGCCCGCGCTTCACAGCACCGGGCCCCACAGGGCCCCCGGCTTCAGCTGTGGAGCAAGGTCGAGCTGCAGAGATGCCTCGGGGGCCCCAAAAGGCAAAGGGCCGTGAGCTGGGCGGGCGTCAGGCAATACCCAGACGGAGCAGCCCCCCAAGGGAGGGGTCACCACACCGGGCCCAGGACACTGCTCGCCCCACAGCGAGCTTGTGCTGGGCGAAGGCGCGCAGGAGCCGTGCGAGGGGCAGGCCAGGGGCCCCCGCCATGGGACGCCCCCCACCACCCTGCGCTGGGGCAGAGCCTTGCTCTGGCCGGGGGGGCCTCTGAGCCCGGGGACCGGGGCCCCCCCCCCACAAGGTCCTCTGCCCTCCTGGCGGCCCCCCCGGTCCTGGATCCTGACCCCCGGGCGCGGGCTGGAGGCAGCCCGCCAGCCCTGCCCGAGGCAGGAGCTTGCTTTCCTGGGCATGGCCCCCCCATCCTGCCCACCCCCGAGGGCAGCCCCTTGCTCCGGACTGGGACGAGCTCCCAGCCCCACGGGGGGGTGGGGCGCGGCGGCTCCTCCCAGCCCCCCCCGCACAAGCTGCGGTCCCGGGGGGGGGCGAGCAGCCTGCGCCTCACCGCCTCTCGGGCAGGGCCTCGCGACCACGAACCGGAGCCCGGGGGGGGGGG